AATATGTAACTCTCCACTATGTGATATCATGACTTTGTCAATACAAGGTGTTAGATAATGATCAATACAACATTTAGTTCAGTGTTGGTCATTTTGAAGAGTTTTATAAAAACTGAGGTATAAGTTTTATTGAGGATGGTCCTGAATTTAGATTTTAAATTCGTCAAAATTGTCAAGGTGTAATATTTTGACCTTTGAATCTATGATACATACATGTGTCACTGAAGACATGAGAAAAATTGAGGTGAAGCTCAACTACACAATTTCTTACAACTTTAAAGTTCATAATAATATTAAAATAAAGCACAAGTTTCTTAAAGCACAGCCCTGAAAATATGATACATGTTGTTACGTGTTGATTTATGTGTGACTAATGTAAAAATCAGAAAACAAAGATAAATTTGATGTCGCCTATCTATACATCCACTTAATTGGCTAAATATGTAGGTATTTCCTGTCACGGACAACAGTAGGATTGGAAACAATCCACAAGAAGAGTGAAAATACAAAACTTCAGAATGGAAAAATGACTCCATATTCACCATTTAAACTAATAGTGACTAAATATCATTTTTGAAAGTTCATAGATTAGAGGCTTACAGGGGATGGTTTTATTCCCTGTTATTTTTCTGTTGCTAAAGTCTATACTCTATAAATCTATTCTTTCCAAGGCCGGTCTGGTTGGTGGTAGCTTTAAACAGAGAAGCCACAGATTGGAGATTTTCCCTAGCCTTCCTATGATATGACCAGTGTTGAATCACAAGATGTGTGAATGTGTATTTTGTTTTATTTATTTATTTTTTGGCCAGGGCAGGCATACTTGCTGAATAGATGAATAAAAGGTTCTAGATTTCTGTGTCTTTAAATTCAAGATGTCAGAATCAAAATATGGTGCATAATGTTAACAAAATTTGAGAAAAAAAGGTCACATTAGTTAAAAATTAGCAGGTTAGAGACCGGGTGCCCCATATGCAGGGACTATTTGAGAAAAAGGGTATCACACAGAGAATTGATAGCTTCTCTGCTGTACACATACTTCTGTGTGTGCTCATATGCAAACACTGGTACTGTGTCCTCCTACACCCATTTTTCTTAGAAACATTCCACTTTAGACACAAGGAGATTTTTAGTATAAGATTAAGTCTATCCTATACTATTATGTGAATACTCAAGATACCCATGAAAACTTTCCATAGAACTCAAAAGATTCCACCAACTCTACTTTTTATCTGTGTGTACAAAATTTAAAATGTAGTATTTTAACCAATAACTTTATTTGTGAGGAATTTTATTGTTATTAAAACTTGTACATTGATGAGATTACTATCTGAATTATAAAATAAAGTTCAATTATTCTTATATATTCACACATAGGTATGTGTTTGCCTGCGTATAGTATGTGTTTACCTGCATATATGTATGTATGTACCTGTGAATATATGCATATGTGTGTGTGTATATAAACACTGCTTTGATAAAAGAAAATCTCTGAAGTCAAAATGTTTATTCAGAAAATCCTTATTCATATTAGTCTGTGGAGCAATTATAACTTAGTGAACAAAAGGTAACGAAACTGACTTTTGCAAATTTTACTTCCGAATCCCTAATTCAATAAAATTATCTTCTCGTATCAGCAATACATATGAGATCATTTCAATTTCACTGATGATCTTAGTCTTTTAATAAATAACCAACTTGACATTGGAGGGAAAAATTGAGAAAATATAAAAGGAAAGTCTTTCAAATGCCTGCCATTTACTGAAGTTCTCTCTACTCAGTCTGGTCTATGAAGGGATGTTTTAAAGTGCTGATTTAACCTCCAGGTTCACAGGATCATCAGCACATTGAGACCTGCCTGTGTCTTTGATTTTTCCTAAAACTGAACCCCACACGGTCCTGGAAAGAACCCATTACATTGAATGAAGGAACACTGGTTATTTATGTAAAGCCCCAACCCTAATTTATTTTCTTGTGATTCATAGAGTTTTCTGAAGGTGTCAATGTATCACATGCCCCAAATGGAAGATTATTATATGTTTTCTAGTCTTTCCTGAGAAAAGTAAAATTTGACTAGTTTTGTAGAAGAAATAAACAGTTATAAACCAATTTTTAAATGAAGCATTCTAACATTTAGCTATATTACATATATTTAAAGAAGACAAACATATCTCTGATTGAATGTTTCCTGAAGATAATTTCTATGTGACGGCTGAGATTTACAGAGTTCTCACATTTTCTTCCCCCATAAGGATTCTAAATCAGCCTGGTTTAGAGGAAAAGCCAGCATACCCCCATTTTTCTAATATTATCACTTCTCCAGATGGTCTGGAACACATCTAGTCAATTCCTTTTTCCTAGAAAGTAAAGAGGTATCTTATTAGATATGTATGTTTATCCACTACAAAAGCGACCTTTTTGTTTTTACTTATTTTGTTTTCTTATTTCACGTATCAAATCTCTTTCATCGCCTAGTAGTCAAGATGACAAGTGCACCCTGAGCTCAGAGACTGCCTGAAACTACATCTTGGCAACCTGAGCAATGAGAGAGTTAATGGTGGATCTTTGAAAACAAGTGACCATGGGAAATTAAGGTTGGCAGGGATTTAACTCTTCATGAATCATGTTAGAATATTTTTAAAGGTAATGCAGTAGATGTTTTAACTGTGTTTGACATCTAATTAGGGAGGAAAAAGAAGTACTAAACACACATACACACCCCAACAAAAACCTCTATTATACTTTGGAAACTAAGTGCTGACAATTGGCTACCAGGTGCTCGCTTTAGCAAAACAAGTACACTCTACAGAAAGGTAACGACAGACCAATACAATGACAGAAAAAAAAACTGCTTGGGTCATTCCTTTCATGCTTCTTACTGGTGTTTATTTCACAGCATATTTAGCCAAACAGCCGAGTTCTAGGTATATGCATAGAATTGTTACGTAGTTATAGGACAATTTTTGATTTAAAAGAATGCAGAATGATTCTACCAGAGGCCACTGCTGTGAAAAGCACATAAAGACAATGCCAAACACACGTATCTTGTCCATAGATAAGCTTGTTTCATCAGAAAAGTTTAAAGCATGTGTGCACAACAAAGAAGTTCTCGGATTAAATGTTCCACGTGTCATATCTAGAAAGGACCAGTGCCTTCTCTACAATGGAGAGTTCAGTACCATGAAATGACGTGCTTACAAAATAAACATAATTCTCTTATTTCATTTGGCAGTTTCTTTAGCACCTAGACAAATAGACTCACATCTAGCTAGATTTTTAAAATATGTTTCACGATTTTAAATATCTCAATCTAAAATTATACCCAATAGCCACTCACATCTTCCAGGACTTAAGTTGTAGGTAAAACTTACTCCCAAGGAATAACAAACTTGGAGTAAAGTGGACTGTCAACTTAAGAATAGTGTGACGGCACCTTCCAAAGGAGTGAAACTAGAAAGCAAAACTGATGACAACACAGATGCCATAATGTCATACACGATGGAGATAATTTAAAGACAGTTCCTAAACAGAAACCTAATAGGTTTAGTTAAATGTTTGATGGCTGCTAGATGATGTTTTAAGACTTCTAAAAAGTACAATTGAAATGCTGCCTGTTTTTGTTTAAAATGTGTTCCTAATTTGATAACCGGGAAAATACTATATCAAAAATTAAACATACTTTCCAGTTCAATGTACTTCAGGTAATCAGTACTAAATCCAAATAAATACACTTAATGTGGTATTTAATTTTCTAATTCAAAGTATGAACATTACATCTTTCTTATTTATGATCCTCATTCCCCTAGAGCACTCAGAAAAAGATATTCTTCATGATGTGAAAATTAAAGAATATAGTTTCTGGCATAACAACAACGTATTGTAGACAGACATCTCTCCAAATAGATTCCATAATTTTCTTTTACCTTATAAGCTACAATGATATAAGCATAATAAAAGCATCTCACTGCCCCACCCCCAATTCTAGAAATCTGAGAATCAGAAGAAATCAACACCTTAGGAAGTAAAACTACTTGAGTTAGAACAGTTCAACTCTATTAACATAATACCTGAGTCATATCAACATTTTCTGCCCCTGAAGTTATATATACATATCATTTGGAAATCTATTTTAGCATTACCTTATACAATCTATCTATAAAATCTATCTACACAAATATAGAACAAATATTTTCTTTAAAATTCTAATAGAAAAACACATACATTAAACTGTAACCAAATAAAGTACCATGTGATAAAGCCGTTTTTATTGCTCTCTTTAACAGGTACTTTGAAAAGAGAAGTTTGCACAACTATCTATGAAAATGCCTATTCAAATCTCAGTGAAGTATATATGGAATTAAATAACATATTCCAGACTTTAGCTTTACACCAATTAGCCAAATACACAGCCTTTTGTACAATCATAACACACTGTGGAAAACTAGTCTGTTCTATCCAGTTTATATTCTCTTGGCAAACCACGATCTACTGCTTATGTTAAGCATCTGATTGTCAGATTTGAACAAACTGAATATTCATGATGACTATTAACCATTTAGTGTCTAAAACTAAGAAAATGCAATTCATCCCAACAATTACCGTAGGTGAGGCATGCACATCCACAAAGAGACAATTTTTGCATTAATATTTTTTTGAAAATATCTTCACAGAAGTCAAGTCAGAAAAATGAGCAGAACCTAAGATCGGATCATGAGATATAAGGATCAGTATGTACCGGGCACACAGCTCTTCTCTGCAAATGTGATTAAATGTTCTTTGTTTGCATTTAAATTGTCATATATCAAACAGAACACATGCTTTTTTTTTTTTTTTTTAAAAAGGAGGTTTAAATCATGTCTGCAAAATACAAATATTCACATAGGTTTTCCAGGTTAAACTAAAGATTTGATGGTTTGGGTTGGGAGGGAGTTCAAGGAATGAAATGAAAGGCGGGGGAGGAGGATTACAAAGCTAGCCAAATAAAAGAAAAAATAAAGATTTACCTTTGTAGGATAATTTCAGCCTTGGTACATTGTTCTTCCCATTTTGATAGTTTGCTCTTGCTGTAAGTAATACTCCCCAGAAAAGACAGACAATCCGAGTCAACCAGCCCATGCTGCAGACGCCGTAGTCCCTGGGCTGCTTTAGTCTCCCTTCCTGTATTGTGCCGCCAGAGAAGTTCACACAATCTGGAAACTGGAGGTAACAGGTGATTTAGGTCAGTTTCATTCATAAATGCAGACAATCAAGACCTCATGGCAACACTAACACCTCTTCTGTAACAGTCACTGAAGAACAGAAACTTCAAACCCTCCAAAAAGGAGAGAAAAAAAAATCTGAGCCAGGCACCACCGGATAATGAGGCACAACTGTTGTGTGGAAAGAAAAAAAAAATTAACAAGAGCTGCTGCAGTGGTGCTTAAGAAGCAGTTCCTTTTATCTAAGCTCCTCTGATAGCCGGTGGCGGACTCTAATCCTGCTCCCTGCTTCATTCGGCTCCGGGGAAGCAGAATGAAAGGGAAAGAGAGAGAGGGAGAGGGAGAGGGAGAGAGGAGAGAGAGGGAGCAGAGAGAGAGAGAGAGAGAGAGGAACTGGGAGCAGAGCGGACTTTTCCTGTACACATGTAGGGAGAGATGACACAAGATCCCGCAGACAGGTTTTCCCAACACTCACTAGACTGGCTGACAATGGGAGAACAGGCAAGCTCAACCCACTCCCCTTCCCTCCTGTCACACAACACATGCAAAAACCATCTCGGAGAGATTAGAGCCGGGAGCAGAACCCTCCAGCGTGCCTGTGAAAGGCATGTAGCTATAAATTTACTTCCCAAGGCAAGCGTTGTTTTATAGCCATTTTGGGGTGCAATTCTGATCTCAAAAATCTGAATTTTGCTACCTACAAAATTTACAGTTCATGCTCATTATCTACTTGCTGAACTTGTGCATTATTTGTGTGTCTGTACGTGTGTATGCGTGTATATATCTCCTCATCAATATAACTTTAACCCCCGAAGGTTTTAAAGCCTTGTTAGCGATCATTCCCTCCTTCCAACAAACCCTCTAGGCTCAACCACCCCCTTCCCCCTCACCCCACCCTACTGCAATTTCAGCAAAGAAATTCCTAGTAAAGCCCATTTCAACAATCAGTTCAAGACAAATATAGGTCCTCTGAGAATTATAAATTACAACGGGGGATTCTCAAAAGGATACTCAGAATTTAAAAACATCCATGGTTTTCCAGCTTCTGGAATGCTCTGGCTAACATTTTTAATGCATCACATCTCATTAATTAAAGTCACTTCCCTAGTTTTGGTTTAAAGGGCAGAAGAAGATGACAAAGTTCACAAAAGTCCCTGCTGAGTGTCAAGGACCAACATAAAAAGAATATCTCCGTGCCTCCATGAGCTGGTGAAGGGTTACTAAATTTTCTGAGGGACACATATTCAGGCAGTCATACAAACACCATTAGTTCTCTCAAAAACAAGCATGTTGTCTTTTAAACTTTCTCTCCTATTCTTCTTTCAATTTTTCACAAAACTAATATTCTTATGAGAATATTTTGAGCTTGTTGAATAAAAATTGACAGGACAGAAGTTTCCTTTCTTTCCTCCTCCATTCTTTCTGCCCTAGCCCTCCTTCCACTGCCCCCCCTACCCCCCCACCCCCCACACACAAACACTTAAAACACAGAAGAGCTCAACTTTAACAATATGGAAACTTCTGGGCTAAAAGGAGAGAGGGCGCCTCAGAATTAAAAACATAAACACTTTCAGAAAGGGGCTTAGTATTCTTATAAAAAATGATCTAAGTATTGTCACTACAGTTTTCATTCCTTAACATCTACAGACCAATAAAGAACAATACTTACCCTGCTCTGTGTGTGTGAGAGAGAGAGAGAGAAGGAGGAGAGGAGGAGGAGGATGCAGAGGATTTAAAGATTTAAAGCCAGGAAGAATGGGGGAAGGGGAGGAGGGATTCTCTCTCCTTCACTAAATTGATTCATCAAACAGATCTTATTGTATTTGTCATTTATTGCAAGCCCATTGATCAGCCAGTATTGTTAAGAAAATAAAATCCAAAAATAATGTTGATTTTACTGATTCCCACACTTGTTATCCTGAGCACTTTTCATGCTCTAGGCATTGGATTAAGGCTACAAATGACAAGAGACTTGTCTGTCTTCCATGGATTACTCTCTATAGACATTCACTCTTCAGAGGAATGCATGTCACTTTGGGATTATTTAAAGGGTTGGACTAATGAATTATCATATTGCAATATCACACACAACTAGTTTAACACTTTAGAGAGTTTCCCCATTTTCATTAATATGTGTTTTAAAGGTCTAAAATGGATGTTTTTGCCTAGTTCTTCTCAGCTAAAATAAAACAAGTTTATTTTGTCAAAACTAAACAGGATGAGCCAATTTAGAAGTGTATCCATTTCACCTCCGTAATATCTGATCCCAAAATATTTTGGTGTGTTCTAGGGAAAATAAAAATTTAATGAGTAAATTTAGATAGAAAAAAGGTCAAAATTAACTCCATAGGGAAGAAAGATACTCAACCTGAATTTTGAACCACAAAATCAGGACAGAGTTATTTCATTTTGTAAAACAAATCATTTAAATTAATGCGGATACATGGAATTTGGAGCACAGACACCCCCACATAGACACTACACATTTTTAAAAACTTTCCTATATGTATATTCGATATTTTTCCTACCCTCCAATTTAATTATCATCATTGTATTTTCCAGACGTTTGAAAGATTCTACAGATGTACATTTGCTTTTCTGAAGATTATTTTATTTTACAAAGGTAAAAATACAAAATTATTATGGCAATCTAACTGTCCTAGATTGACTAAATTATAAACAGTAGGAGAATCCAACTGCACGGAGATATTTTAACTGTGATTTAAAGAAAAAGAAAGAAGAAAAAGGAAATACATGCCTCAAAAATACTTTAAGAAGTAATGAAATCTGATATTTCTGCTGCTTTCTCATTTGACTGTCATCAGGGTTTTATGAGGTTGTTTTCAACTTTGTTCTAATACCTTCAAACGCCTGAGAGGTAACCGACATTAAACCTATTTCTCAACTAAAATAGAAGTAGAGTAGGGGTGAATATGGGTGGGTGTTTATCGGAATCTCTCAGAATCGAACTGAATGTGAAATGTGAATTTTCATTCACTCCTCCAAAGATGACTTCTTATTTGGAGAAATACGGGGCCCAAGGCTTGAAATGAGAATCCCTGCTGTATTGCCACCATAACCTTTGATTTTCACTGCATCATTTAATACCTTTTAAATGTCAGAAATATTATATTGACCTTTTGCCACTGAATTTTTTTATTTGAGGTATAAGTGAAACATTTTTACTTTTTTCCTCAAAGTGGTCTATTTTCCATTATTTTCTAACCTACAAGCTACATCCAGGGCTATCATTAACTCTATTTACCACTGAGTTCCTAATATGTTCTAACATTTCAAGTTTTCAGACATGATTAACTCTTGCCACAGAGTTGAATTTGAGCAGGTGCCTATTACGACGATCATGCTGTCGTACACACTTCTGTCTAATAAATCAGTTGTTTTTAACCTCACCTCATTCCAGATTGAGATGGATTGCTAATATTTTTTAGAGTGGCAACTTTCTGGGTGACATACCTGATTTTCAAGAGAAACACCACTTCCCACTTCACAACAGCTTAGTTAACGCGTTTTTCAATAATGATCTGTATTGCCATCTCTGATACACATTAAAGTATTTCACCATACAAATATACTTTTGATCTTTTCTTGTATTGAATGAAACCAGTGCATATATTTTTAAATGTCTATATTACTATAAACATTAGAATGGGCATAAAGATTGTAATTTAAGAGTAGACATTGTTTTTAATTTGTGAGATAGCATGCTAAGTACTTTCCTGGGTTAGCAACACCCAGAATCTTTCTGTGACTAGTAGGTAAGAACACTTGCTGTATTTGTTCATCCAAGGATACAAAGAGAAGGTATATTTTAGATGTACTTCAAGGACTTAGCAAATAAAATGTACTTGAAAATGTGGAGTACTTGATAAACAAGCTTACCTTTCCCTGCAGTTTCCCTCCATCACCACTTTATTGTGATTAGAGAGAACTCCCCCCAAATGTGTGCCCCTCTGAGAAGCAGATGACTTCTTTAAGGGAAATTAATGATTTGGGAATTTCAAAATGAGTTGGTTCGCTAGTTTTACTAAGAAACAACACCAAGGAGAAAACTAATAAGAAAACCAAATCTCAGCCGTCTTCCTAAGATGGTTTTCAATTGAGTCATTTAAAAAAACATGTATAATTTTTCACCCAACATCTGCTGTTCCGTGTTTTCTCTTTTGTTAGATGCAGGGGTGCTTCATTAGTATCTGACAAGGCGCGCGATCAACAGAATTACAGCGAATGTCATGGTGGAACATTTGCCCTTGCTCTGACTTCTTATGTTGGAAATTCATTTTTAATGAGGATCTTCGAGTACAGGAAATTTGAACCTTCTTTTTTTCTAAAACAGAATTGTGTGGGTGAAAAAATTCTTTAGAAGATCAGAAGACATTCTATTAATTGGGAAAACTAAATAGTTGATGTATTATTCATTCCAGCCAAAAATGATAGTGACTTTAGAGCTGCATTTGTCGCTGGGAACTGGGGGTGGCAGGTTAAAAGCGATGTTGAAGAAATTAAGTTAAACTTTCCATAATCTGACCCTCACGAATGCTTTTAGTTTAAGCAACATGTGAAGGCAGTAGCTGAGAGAAGGAATTGATAAAATGCAGAGGGAATCCAATCTCTAGAGAAGCATAACTCCTCCCTCTCCCTTCAACTCCCCCCACCTCCTATGAATAGTGATTTCAGTAAAACTAGCTCCTCCTCCCCTGGTCTGAATCTGTAACAGTTTGAGGGGAAAAAGGGAGTTTTGTGTTTTCCTGTTCTCTTTTGTGATATTCATGCGCATGATACTTTCAGGTAAATAGGGACCCAGGGGCTCTGAAGATAAAAAACAGTCCTTGTTTTTCAAATGAATAGAAGAAATAACTATTACGTATTTCTGCAGGAGACCAGAAATTGGACAAATAGTCACATTAACTGTGGCTGTAGATTTTAAGGGAAATCTAGATAAATAAGAATATCAGAAATTGGAAGACAAGTCTTTTAGTGGTGAACTCTTTCCCTGAGTGTTTGAGTAGTGGAGCCAGTAGGAGAATTTGGATGGGGGTGTGGGGGGTGGTAAGTCTGAGTGGGGGATGGTAGAGACAGAGGAGGGAGGGATTCATAAAATGTCCTAAGTTATGGTCAGTCTCCAAGTTGCCAGAAGTGGCTAGAATTCAGTTATAAGAACACAACTTCTCATTTCTATGGTCTCTTCTTTTTTCTTCTTAAAGCCATCATAGTTTTCAACATCTCAGAATATTTTAAAGATGACATTTTCTCTTTGCCTTTTCTATGTTTAAGGAGTTTGTCATCACTACAGCATCT